CAGAGGGTCGGTACTGAGGGAGCGCTGCACTGTCAGAGGGTCAGTACAGAGGGAGCGCTGCACTGTCGGACGGTCAGTACTGATGCTGGCAGTACAATATAGATGCTGTATTTAGTTGAGAAATGAAGATCCTTTTGTACTGCTTCAAAGAGTCGAGGGAATTCTCGATGCCTGGGCTAATAACTGTCCTTTAACCAACAAACTGTTCATGGGAGCTTGCTGTGCATGAGGCTGCTGCATAGCCTCATCCATTTGTATTTATACTACATAAAGAAAACTTCTTCAGATAAAGACCTGAATTGAAACTGTGTGTCACTTTTTTCATTCATTCATGGGATGAAGGCATCACTGATTAGGCCAGGATTTACTGCCCATCCCTAATTGCTCAGAGGGCAGTTTAAGGGTCAACCACATTGCTGTGGGTCTGGAGTGACATGTAAGCCAGACCAGGTAAGGATGGCAGTTTCCTTCCCTAATGGACATTAGTGAACCAGATAGACTCCTCCTGACAATTGACAATGGTTTTGTAGTCATCATTACACTCTTAATTCCAGATGTTTACTGAATTCAAATTCCACCATCTGCTTTTGTGGGGTTTGAACCCAGGCCCAGAACATTACCTGTGTTTCTGGATTAACAGTCCAGTGATAATACCACTAGTCCAGTGATAATATCACTAGGCCATCGCCTCTCTTGAGTGCACTATTCCAGCCAGGGAGAATAATACCTGAGACAGTCCCATGATATCACCACCTGTTACTTAAATTTTTCCCGAGAGATCCTACAATACAGTCAAAATAATGAACAATGACCCGTGTTTTAAATCTACACATGTTGGTTCAAGATACAGGTGCCTTTTTGGGAGAACTGGTTCTGGGGAAGGAGCTGTATATTTAAACCGACAAACTACCCAAACGCCTGATTTACTCGAGTGGATTGGGAGGAACGTTTTCCAACGGCAGGTGTGTTGGTAATCTGAGGACACAAATTATAGGTTATAGGCAAAAGAACCAGCGGAGGAAATAAGGAAAATTTATTTTTTCTAAAAGGTAATGAGTTATGATGATTTGGAATGGGCTGCCTGAAAATGGAGTGGAAGCAGGTTTAAAAGTAACTTCTTAAAAAAAGTGAACTGGGTAAACACTCGAAGGGGAGAAATTTTCAGGGCTTTGAACAAAGAACAAGAGGGAGTGGAAATATTCAGTTACCGCTTTCAAAGAGCTGGCACAGACATAATGGGCCAAATGGCTTTGATCTGTACTGTAAGAATTCTGCGAACAACATGAGGTGTTAACAACAATAACAAATAAGCATTTTGGTTCTGCAAAGCAAAAACATTTTGACAACCTAGCAACCAAATCGCAGTCCTTCATGGAAAGAGTTAAATGGCTTTAATTGCGATATCTGATTTCTGAGGAAAATAATAACTTCCATTTATATTGATCAGGCAATACAAATAACATTTTATGAGCTGCCAAAGGTTATGATATAAATCTGAATTAGGTTGTAAATAATCAGGTTCCACTTCAGACATCAAACCAATCTTTTCCCAATTTCCTTCAGCTGTCACAGTTTAATCGAATCAGGAATGTAGGCCCATGACTGTGCTCTGGAGGTGGTCTGCATAGTCTATTCAAAGGAGCATTAGTGTTCTTCTCTGAGCTCCTACGTTCACTGATAAAGGCACCCTTGAGGCTACAAGACTTACTGTGGTTAAAAGTGCAAGAATTATCCAAGCTGCTGAGTTGCTGCAATCTGGCATGCATCATTCCTGTTCTACTGCGAGAAACAGGCAACGTTTGAGCTTTCTTTTCATGTGCATTACTGATGGATCCTAACCCCTCTTGGTTCCTGCAAGATGGGCAAATGGGACAGAGCAAAGGTTAATGTCAGCACAACGCTGCAAAAGCCAAGTGTTAGTAAAGCAGTTGTTACTTTTTATTCAGCATCTTCTGTAGGCCAAATGGATTAGTTTGATGACATATCCAATTTTACCTACTTCACAAGAACAGAACAAACTGGACTGTTTTTGACCATTTGGCCTTTCAAGCCTGCTCTGTCATTTATTATGAGTGTGGCTGATCTTGGGTTTCAACATACTGCCTACTCCCCTTCTCTGGTGATTCCCTGAGACACCAGAAATCTGACTATCCCAGCTGTAAACATATTCAATATGCACACATATGCATCTATAACTTTCAGTGCGAGAAAATTCAGAAGATTCTAAACCCTGGGAGGGAAGAAATTCACCCTTGTTTCAGTCCTAAATGATCCTAATTAAAATTATATCCCTGTGCTTTAGATTCCCTGTTCAGCAGGATCAACCTCTCAGTATCTATCCTATAAAGCCCCAACAGTATCTTGTATATTTAGATTTCATCATCGTACAAGCCTCCTGTCCTGGGCAACAGTTTAGTGAACGCTCTCTATGCCACCACCAATGTACATTAAGCCAGACTTGAATTTGGTGACTTCAGTCCAAAGACGTGAATTTTTATCAAAAAATGCAACTGTTAAAAATGGCGACATTTGCACTCATCGATTTTTTTTCAAAGGAGCAAGCAGGTTTTGAAAGCAGAGTTTCTGACAATTACAAACCCAAAAGGACCACAAGAACGATTTCTGCAGATTCACCATCACGAAACACTCAATTCCAAACTGGTGCATGAGGAAATATGAAGCTGCAATGGTCATAGCAAGCAAGTACAAGCCGGAAAGCGATGAGCAAGTGTTAGCACGTCGACAGTAACAGTTTATACAAAAATAGAAAGCAGTTTACTTTTGCTGAATTTCTATACCTGTGTATGGAAATTCACAAACAACTACAAAGCTAAGACAGACATGAAACAGAACAGATGGGAACAGAGACACACACACACAGAAAAGCAGCAAATACCCACATCTTACCCAGCAAGAGGGGAAGAGCCATACACATTTACTTTTTTTTGGGGAGTTTAGCAGTTGTCAGCATACAGGGTGCAAAATAGGAAAAAAAAAGGTAATTTGTGTTAGGAATAAATGGTGAGTCCACTGCTTCATACCACCACCAGAGCTTATTACTATAGAATACCATAATAGGTTAGTATATGAAGAAAATACA